AAGACAGTGAAGAAATATAAATTCCACTGGTGAAGCGAGGAAAATCCATCACTTTTTAAATACCAAGACGACTAGATGTGGGTGGCCACTCTTCTGATAGGGTATGGTATTTATACAAGAACGACAGGCAGTTTGTAAAAGATCCATGGAAAGATGTTCTTTGTCCACAGCCAGATGAACCTGGACCCAGTGCTTCTGTATCAGAGGAGTGACATGCAACTTGTACATTTACCATGGATAAATACTTTATATAATCTATCAGTGTAAAATTCTTTATTCTGATAAGAAGTAATTTGGCAGATTCAATACATTCAAATCAATATGATATTTGATAGAATTCTGTTCCCTTTTTTCCAGTTTTCGAGATTTTTGGAGTAACACTGAGATGGAATGGTGTTTTTGCTAAAGCGTCTTCATGCCATGTTATTTCAATTTGTTTTTGTTTTACTGTTCATTTAGTGAAAGCTGATTACTTATAGCCATGATTAGAAAGAAAATGTATACTTTTGCATGTATAATGTACATATAATTCAGGTGCGTTTTGCTAAAAAATTATTATACTATAAGATAACCTGGACATTATTCAGATAATTCAAAATAAGTTCATGGAGTTGAATATATTTGAGAGTAAGATATTTTTTAGAAAAATGAATGAGTTTAAAAAAAAAACATTGTAGAGACTGGTATTTATATAATTCCCATTAAGAAATATTTGTTGCTTAAAAGTTTTAAATATGCGTTTGTTTCCATTTCACAGTGATGATGTATTGGTGCCTTATTAATGTTGTTGTTGATGAAAATGAATTTATGAAATAATGATGAAGTGTTGTATCCAAGTCTTTGGATGGGCAAATCTGAGTGTGTCTTGTTTACTATATTTTTTTTGTTATTTTTTTGTGTTAAAAATATTGTGAGAAATGAGATAAGAAAAAAGGTGATTTGGGTAATTACATTATGCAACCATAATAAGAAACGTTTAATTGTACGTTATTGTTGTGAGTTTTGATTGTGTCACACAAAGTAGAGTTAATACATGTAATTTTGAAAATGAAATTTCATTAAAAAGCTTGTGCTCTCCAAAACGTTGCACGTGCTAGTAAGCTAGTTGAACAGACAAATTTGTGTTTGCTGGAAGCAAATTGTAATGATGACATGAAGAGCATGACGCGACATGAATTTCTTTATGAACTGCAGTGTGATCAAATGAAGACGTTATGTTTATAAAAGCTATTTTCAAACAGCTGTGATTTAAATAATCAAGATATTTAAAAAAAGAGCTGTGTTTTTGAATTAATACTGATTTGTCTCTCATGATCATTAAATACGTTTTCATTTTTGTATGTCTGAAGGGTGATTTTCTCAGCTGCAGGCCGGCCGATTTATTATTTGTATTTATTTTCGGTAAATTGAAAAGTAAAGATGCAGACGGATATCTGTGGTGGCAATTCATAAATTTGGTGTGAATTCAGCGAGTTATGATAAAAAAAAATTAAAAAAGATAAAAATAAATGAATGAATAAATAAAAAATAAATTTTGTTGTTGGTTATTTTTTTAAATTGAAAAGTAAAGATGCAGAGGAATATCTGTGATGGCAATTCATGAATTCGGTGAGTTATGATCAAAACAGTAAAAAATAAAAATAAATGTTTCGACGTTGGTAAGTTTTAAGTTAACACGATTTGAAAATTTATCGTTGGTTAGTCTTTTGTCAAAAATTTGAAAAAATGTAGTTTGTTTTTGTTGAAGATTTGAAACATAAACTTACCAACGACAATTTTCAACTTGTCATTTTTTTCATGTAAAATTTCTGATTCTTCCCACCCTTCTAAGGTTAAAGAAGAAAAAAATAAAAAAAAAATTGGTCGTTGGTTAGTTTATTGGTTAGAAAATTTGGAAAAAATTATCGTTGGTTAGGTTTTCGTCAAATATTAGAAAATTTGTCGTTGGTTAGCTTTTCTTTGACAAGGATTTGATAAATTTGTCGTTGATTAGTTTTTTATCAAAAAATTGAAAAATAAAATAACCAACGATATTTTTCAAATTTTCCATTTTTTCCATATACAATTTCTGATTCTTCACAAACTATTCAGCTAAAAAATGTCTTTGGTTTGCTGAAAGGTTACAAAATTTGTCGTTGGTTAGCTTTTTGTTAAAAATTTGAAAAAATTTGCCCATTTTCCTATACAATTTCTGATTCTCCCCATCCTTTTTCAGCTTTTTGCAGTCACAACACACCTTACTACAACATCACTTGATATCAGCGACAATAAAAACGTTTTCCAAAATCTTTGTCCCAAGCTTAAAATGCCGGGACTTATATGCAGGATGTGGTGGTGTTGACGGCCACCATTATTAGAAAGCCAAATTCTTGGTTCAAAGTCGCGAAATTGATAATTTGACAGCATACTGTTAACAGTAACAGTTAGTAGGTGAGATTAGGAAGGAATAACTAATTTCCCTGTAAAAGCAATATCCGCATTTTCTTGATGTACACTTTCGCAAGGAAGAATATTCTATTTAAGCCTACAATAAGGTCTTTTTTCAAATCTAAAAAAAATGAAGTAGACCTTATCTGTGTATGTAAAAGCATTGTCTGTGTGGGTTATCCCTCATTCATCGTCTCTGTCTGACAAGATAAGGCGTACCTATATGTACCGTCCTATGTCTGTCTGGGATGCAGCATGGTCTTATCTGCTGATTGATTGGCCAATAAACCAGATCGGAAATGTGTCCATGGTAATGTCTTTTTTATTCATGAGCTCATCTCTCAATTTCTAAACACATCAGGATAAATGAGTATCTAATCAAGGGATTCTTATTGCAATGACAGCGTTTCCTATTGGACGGTAAGTGGTTACGTAATCACATTTACTATTTGTATCTAAAACTCTGAAAACAGAGAAAAAAAAACAAAGAATGAATATTTGATAAAAAGTAAAACGAAATATCCATCAAATCTATTTCATCAAAGCATTTTTCTTAGGTTTTAGAAAAAAACGGAATGATTATATTTATTCATATTGTAAAGGGAGTGGGGTTGCTGGGTGTAGAGGGTGGCATCACCACTCATATAAAAACTCAAAATTTCAAGGAGAACATTTTATTCCGGGATCACTGCAGCGACAATGCAAATCTTCATCAGTATGTATCCCTTTCTGTTGTTTGTTTCTTTGCACCCTGTAACCCTATATCAGGACAATTTTGATTGGCTATCGTCTCAACTACGACATGTTGAAATCGTATGCTGGGGAAGTATGGTGGTTCTTATCTAGAAATGGAAAATTTAGAAAAGGGAAACCAAAAAAATAATATTTATCATACAGCTTTGTGAAAACTGTCCCCTAGGTTGTAGTCTACATGAATCTATTGAAACTAAGCAGGTTATGAGGTAAGCGGTTGTTGGAGAAGAGTTCGTTTTGTTTCTGATTTTGAGTTTTGGGTAAATTTTAGTGGTATTCAATGCAACAAAAACGATGACATCGATATGTCAAAAACTCGAAACAGAAAAATAATAACAATTATCATGCGAAGGAGTTACAAAGATACCCATTTCATGTCATCAGCGTCATTTACAACACCTTTACGTACAACAGAGCAAATTTCAATGATCAATGTCATGTTCTCAGGTGAGAACAATGTCATTATATGGAAAAGCGAAATACAATATTTCTTAATAAGACCATGACGGCGACCATAAAATATCGTTGTCTTCTTCAATATGCGTTTCTTTGAACACAGCATTAGGAGCTTTACTCGTTTACGTTTCTGTATTAATGAATTATCTTGAATCTATGATGATCTGTTATCAAGCGTAATATAATTTGTACCCTACACCATACATTTCGCTTGTCTTTTTATATAATTAATAGATTGTTCCATAAAATACCTATGACATATATCAGGATATGTTACACTGTTTGAGGTGTCTGCCTTCACTACTGAAGTAAACACTCTCTTAACAAAATCTATTATATATCATCTTGATGATGGTTTTTAATTTTTTTTTCACAACACTAGAAATATATCTAATCGTCTCATCACCCAAGAATTCTATAAGAACGAAACAACTTTATGATGCAATTAAATTCACTGTTTGTCTATACTGAATTAAATTCTTCATTCGTATTAAAAAGTATTATCACCTCTGTGTCTGTTGTATAATATTCCATATTTTTTAAATGGTATTTAACAAATTTATTGTTGCTGTTTCAATTGAAAGCCAAACATGCGTTTTTGTTAAATGTCTTTCTCTTAGCAATAATTTAATTGTGTAATCAAACTGTTTAGTTAATCCTGACACTGACGACGATGGTGATAACATCTGAAACAGAGACCCAAATACAATACGGAAAGGTTAGAAACAGACAACACGATATGAGAACCGAAAGACAAATATATATTTTTCTATTCAGATTATTATTGTTCAAGGTATTTTCAAGACGCTGACAGAGTGAATCTCATTTAACGTTTGGTACACTGTGTATATCAAATTCGTGTTTCTGAAATCCTTTTACCAAAGACTGTTCCAAATGTCTTGTCCTTGTTTGTCACTTATGATAACTCGTTCTTACCTTTTACGGTCTATAACAAACTGTGCCTTGAATTACATGCCTTCATAAAGAAAAAAAGGCGGATGATTTTTTTTTCAATATTCATTTACATTTCACAAAAAAAACAATATTATGGCTTACAATGATGAATAAGTTGAGATAGAGTTTTTAATTCATATTTACAGAGATTAGGATATTTCAATATATTGTAATAACTAGGGAGAATGCCAATGGTTTCACAAACGTCTGTAATATTTTCGCACCGCGATTGTAAAGCACCATTCAATTACTTTTTGAGGTTGATATTCCATGCCTCGCATTCCACTTTCACCATTGATATTTCCTTTCTAATGTTTAAATTGATTCCGTTTTTTTAAAGTTTGTAATTTTATCGTAAGTTGTGAAGTCCTGATAACGATGATGAATTTATTACTAATAAAATCATAATTCTACCTATTTGTGCCGTGTAACTCAAAATATTCGTCCATATTTGTGTTACATGGGCATTCCCCTTGTCTAAATCGTTTATCGTCCTTTCTATAAGTTGTTAGTCGCAATGATTGTGTCGAATCACATGAGTATGTACTACGAAATGTCCATTTCTGTTTGTGACCTTGTTTCTTTTTTTGTTTTTCAGAACATGTACACACACAGAGTTTGTTGCCGTTTGTTTCTGACAAGTCCATCTTCGTGCATTTACAAGGCGCCAGTGTCTGCAAGACGTTCCCACTAAATGCCAGGTATATCCAAGGGTTACAGCAGCTGTTAAGACTAGCCAGTAATAACATTATAACAAGGGCATTGTCTGCAATAAAAAAACAAATCATTTTTATAAAAGCAATATTTATAAATCATATTTCTATATCCGCAGAACATTATTAATGTTCACAAAATGTTATCTAATTCTTGTTTGTAATATGATATAAGTTTGAGTGTCTTTTGTACAATTTCAAGATTACAGGTCTCAGACAATGCTGGTGTACAGTGATGTAGGTTTGCCGTGTTTTGCATAGTTCTTACTTAATTAATTCGGTTCGTATTGAAAATCTGAGAAGGTCAAATTGAGAACAATTTTGATTTTCTTCCGACGCCTACTAGACTCCACGAATTGACGAGCCCTAGTAGGAGTAAACAGCTGTATTGCTGCACAAAACTGTTTATTTCTGCTTTATTGTGCTATTTTGCGCAGTATTAGGTCCGTGTATTATTATACTCATTATTAAAGATGCACCTTTTAAATTACCAAAGAAATATTAATCTATAAATTTAAGCTGAAGATGGAAAGGTACTAAATTATTGAAAACATCCAAAAGAAAATGCAGACTTGGTAAAACACACATCCTTAATTCAAACCAAGAATTGATTGAACGAGAGAAATATACCGTCTGACATCTTTAATCTTCAAATAATAGAAAGAACGATTGACTAGCAATGTTCAAATTTTGAAGAAGACAATAGAATCTGATCGACACGTAAACTCCTATTAATATGTAACACTTTCAATTGACTGGAACGTTTGCACGATTTTCGAACTAATTGTATCATAATTGAAATATGATCTCTGTGTCGAACGTTCTCGGGACAGAAACGCTTTCTAAACGGTAACTTGGAATGATGCATGACTTTGATACACAGAATAGCAACTGAAATTCCTCACAAGTCAAGGATCCGATTAAACACAAGGCCATGTGATAAATATCGACACGGAATCAATGAGTATTCAATTGTGCAGGTATAAATTTATCAGACCAGGAAACGGAATTAACCCGTGAAATAAATGTGGTGTATGATTGAAAGTTCTCTATAAAAGCACACATGTAATGTTAATCCGTCTTTCAGTCTTTTGTATGGTAAGACAAGAACAAAAAGTAAAATATCAACATGTCAACATCATCATAATCCAAAAAATCAAATTCAATAAATCAACACAAATATGAACAAAAGAAAGATTTTCACTCCTGAAAATGAACAAGCAGAATAAGACCTGGTGTTCCGAAAGAGTAAGTGTCTTCTGCTTCACTCTCCTAAATGAGAACAATGTATACACTAACGGAACTAATAGGAAACTAACGAACATTGAACGCGTCCAATTTCACATTGTACAAAGAAATATAACATTTCTCAATGCGATCACTATCTTTGATAAAAATCTGTTTTACTAGGTTGGCCGTCAGTTGACGACTTCTTGCACGACAATCGTGTTAATGGGACCACATACTGGAATAACATCTGCGAAATTAAGAAAAAACATAGGCTAGGGATGCAGGTTTGTTGCTAGTAAGAAATGGAAAATCCACAAATGAAATTTAAATCCTTACGCTTATCATAAAGCGGAGAACATTTCTATGTTGTTATCTTTTATGTCACCATGTATTAAACAGTTTTACCGAATAGACCACTCAGATCGATTGAATGGAAGTATTTGTAAACTTTAACGGCCATAGTAGAAGAAAATTCAAGGACACAGCGAGAAGGAATTTCGCTTAGTTGCGACAACTGTAAACTGATGTAACTTACTTGTTAGAGGTGCAGACTCATCGTATAGCCACCAAAGCTGCGAGACAAAAAATGGCGACCAGCACACTATGTAGGCAAGAATTATGACGAATGTCAGTTTTACGGTTTTCAGTTTTGCTCTTGAAAATCCTCTGAAGGAATGATTTCTGGGTACAAGTGTTACATGATTTTGTATTTTTCCGTTTTGTGATGCTACAGACTGCATTTGTTCGGGAACATTATCACGAGTTACATATTTCCCAGAATCCCTTGAAAGTCTGTACTTCCGCCAAACAGTGTAACATATAGAACCATAACAGGCTAACAGTATGACAAATGGAATCAAATAAACGAAGACCGTAAAGGACGTGATGTATAATTGAAGAGTCCACGGTGGGTCAAAATGTACCCAACAGTCCATAACACCAGATCCCACCTTTGTTTCCTGGTACTTAAACATTATTAACTGAGGCAAGCTCATAATGGCGGCTATGGCATATGCTCCACCGATCATGACGTGCACAAGTCTGGGTGTCCATGTGTGGTTGCTAAGCGGGTGACAAATGGCACGATATCTATCCACCGCAGTCATAACCAAGATGTAGGTCGACAAATACATGACAAAAATCTGGGAATATTTGATGAAGCGACATAGAAAGTCACCGCCATACCATCTATGGGTGATGTCCCATATTAGTTGTGGCAGGATATTGAAGAAAGCAACTTGAAGATCGGCTATACTTAAGTGCATGATAAAGATATGCATTCGTGTTGATTTCTTCCGTCGTCGACACAGAGCTACAAGTACACAACAGTTACCGAGTATTGCTAAAGCAAAGATGGCGGCTTGAACGGCAACTTCAACTCGAACTAACTCCTCTTTCCGCTCCGGAGTCGTGGTATTTCCCACCGGAACAATCGGCTTAGTTACGTTATAGGTGTCATTTAACATCCCCTTGGCACCTAGGTGTGATTTGGAAGGACCCATCCTGGAAAAAAATATTCAGAAAGACTTTAGATTAAAACAATTAATTAAATGGCAAGTACCTGACACATTCTACCATATCCGAATTTATCAAAATTCATATTTTCCAAAAGAAGAAAATAAAAGTGCGGATACGTGTTCTAGATTTAATCGTTGTTGTTCTAACACGAGCTAGAGTAGAAACACGCTAAGGGTGGGGAGAATTGTTTGACGTTTGTTTTTAATTGAAAGCTTGGCTGTGACTTCATTAAACCAGGAACAGAAATAGCACCACAATGTGTTATGGATAAAGTGGCCCAATATCGGTCTGGCGGGGAGAGCAAAATGTGAGAAATAGATAGTTTAGAAAAAGTTTTGAAAACAATGCCCATAAGGCATCTGTAAGAAAAGTCAGGAGCACTTCTCAGCCATGAATTGAATAAGGTTTTTTGCTAATATAAAAGATTTTCCTTTCAGAAGGAACTTACATCCAAAGTGCCAGGATACCGTACAACTGAGAAATCCTTACAGACAGACCCAATTAGCTTTACATTGATATTTTGTGTAAAATCTTCAATTTCACTAACATTAGTTCTGCTCATGCATGTCCAGTCACATCAAATAGCTCATTTGGAATCATAAATCCCGGCGACCGAAGTAAACAGGATTGAATACAGTTAATCATGGTGATTTATGTTTCTAAATTCCGTTTATGCCTATCTTGAGCAATCACTCATGGCAACAGAATGTATCATGTAGGTTGCCATGATTTAAATGGTCATATCTTCTCCTATCTGCTAAATGATTGACGTGTAAGTACATGGCTGTGAATAAAACTTTTAGATGAAGATTAATATTTTCATTGATCTTCCGGGAAACGCTAAAACCGTTGTCAAATTAGATGGTATATTGATATAATGCATTTTGTGAAGAAATTAAAAAAAACTGTCATGCCTGTTATTTTTATCAAATTTTTGTCTTAAGTTTATTGTTCACTTCTGATGCATAGTATCTATCTTAATTTTTGATTTTATAAATTTTTTAACTTATTATTTCTTTTAATGTCGATGGTGTCCTGTTCTGTAAATTAATTCAATGAAAAACCAGTCGCTTTTGTCACTACTAATGAATGTCATATAAAGCTAGAAGATTACCATTTGCAACTTCCGTCGGAAAAAAAAGGAAATCGTTTATATCTGGAATCGCATGGATATTAACACTACTCTATAGATCTATATATGTCATAAAACACATAAATCTGCATCTTCGAATCGAGGAGGTGTCGATATAGATAATATGTATCTTTATATATGTGATAATAAACGATAGCAACCAACAGGAAGTTAAAGGCATTGATGTCAGAAACAACAGACTGTTGTCCTCTGGAATGATTTATAATTATATTAGATTGAAATGATTGACGTATTGGTGGAACAAGCGATGTTTTTTTTTCCTGTAAAAACTGACTAATGTGTTCCAAACAAATAAACATACAGACACAAAGAATGCTGATGGAATGGACAAAATATCATCAATTCAGGGAAACACTCGATACGAAACGGGATACTTTAACCTTAATGAATATCGAACAGGCCTACTAAGCTATTCTCTCGTTACCTAGAAAGGTAACGAGAGAATAGCATAAAAACTAGCCGTTCTGTGCAAGACACATTCCCTAAATGCTGCTGTGGATAACATGGGACGGTCCTCCCATATGTTGTTCAGTTAGGTAGTCTTCAGCTGCTTCTAGAGAACCCAACCCGCAATGGCCCTGGCTATTCACAGAACGACATCGCAGCAAACACGCAAATAACCTAATTTACGGATCATAACTGTGTATCTGCTTTGTGTCGATCTATTGAGTAAATAAATGAAAGTACTGAAAGGCTAAACGTATTGAAAAATGTTCACAAATAACCGCAAAGCTATATTACTTTCCCCATACTCCTACACTTTGGAATGCAAAAATTACTAAAATAAGAGAACCAGAGGCTATTTTTCTTAATTTCAAGCGATTTTATATCTTCTTTAATTCTTATTTTAAATCTGACGACAATAATGTGAACAAATCAAAATAGGTAAAAAAAAAAAATAACAAAATACACACCACCATATATTTATCGCCAACAAGCTAAATGATAAATAGCTCTATGATGAAGTTGACTAAATAAAACCTTTGATATACCCAAGATGTTGCAATTACTATCCTATCAATATGAGGATTTAGACAAATCGGAAGGACTTTATACCTACTTCTCTATTTTAAATGTATTGCAATGTAATTGTCCTTACTTATTATAATTATATTTGTAGTTGAGGAAAGTAGATAAGGTGTACACAGCATTTCAGATAGATTTAAAGTGTAAGTAATTACATTAAATGTATTTACATGCCTATCTTCCTTGAAGTATCAACGTTAGACTTTTCTTCCAGTAATTATGTCTATAAAGACATAGTTCTTTGAGATTAAAATAAACTTCCATATATATACAAAATTTACAATATTTTCACTATAACTACTACTATTTCTGATCTCCAATGCATTAGATAATGTCACCATGACACGTTAAATGAATAAATATGTTATGGAAATATTTTGTTCTAGTTAATTGATAATTATAAACATGAATGTTATGGATTTTTTTATACGCGCTTTGTTTGAAGGAATATTTTCATTTCAAGGAACTTTGATACACATTAACAAACCTTGAGAACTCAGCACAATCAACCTTCAAATAAAACTAAAAGACAAAAAATATAATTTATAACTGAGTCAACATCATGATCAGTACAATATCAAAAATATATTATTCATAAATCATGAGCACCAATTATACCTTGCCTACGAAGCGCAAACTTTTATCTTCAAAAACTTGAAAAAGTGTCATGGCGGTTGGTGTGAAAAACCTGAAAAAGTGTCATATCGGCGGGTGTGCGCGTGGGACGAACAGTCCAATTCGGTGACGTCTATTGAGGTAAAGTGATGTTATATATTAAGACGATCTTACCACAAGTGATGTTCTGTTTGTAAGTTTTGTTTGTTTATAAGTGTTGTTAGTTGATAATTCAAACCAAGCCCCCAGACTAGCTTCTTATTAACTCGCACGTACAGTGTTCTGTACGCTTACGCCATGTCGAGAATTCCGTAAAATATATTGTTCAAAATTTATCAATAGTTCAACCACACTGTGCTTCTTTTTTAAATATATAGTAATCGTAGTGTTATTTAAAAAATAAACTAATTTTGGATGCTTTTAAAATAGCGATTTGAAAGATCTCGGCATTAATTACGCAGAAAATTGCCGCTAGAGGGCTCTAACTCTTTTCGATATTTCAGCCAATGAGAAGGCCAGGATTCGTTATAACCTGCATCATCACCATCATCATCATCATCATCATCATCATCATCATCATCATCATCATCATCATCATTATCGTTATAACCATCATCATCATCATCATCATCATCATCATCATCATCATCATCATCATCATCATCATCATCATCGTTATAACCAGCATCATCATTATCGTTATAATCATCATCATCATCATTATCATCATCATCATCATCCTCAATCAATCCATCATCATAATCATAATCATCCTCAATCAATCTAACATCATCATCATCATCATCATCATCATCATCATCATCATCATCATCATCATCATCATCATCATCGTTATAAACAGCATCATCATTATCGTTATCATCATCATCATCATCATCATCATCATCATCATCATCATCATTATCGTTATACTCATCATCATCATCATCATCATCATCATCATCATCATCATCATCATCATCATCATCATCATCACGAGAATTGTTTGACTGAACTTAAATAGCCTAAAATGTAAGGCTTATACAAGAAATAGGTCAATACATACACAATTCGTACGGAAATTCTGATTATATAAAGTACAATGGCCCGTCATCAAATATATTAAAGTGATATCAAAATTTTCGGAAAAGCTACACATACAATTTCTCTCACTTGAGGCATCAATTTTTGTTTTCAAAACTTGCAAAAAACACGAGTTTAAGAGGACCAGAAAGTCATATACAATTGAAGTATATATACGGTAGATTTATCTGTCAGCATGTTTAAGTCTGAGAAAGCAATAAAACAAAGCATTATGTCAGAAAAAAATTAAACGTCCAACAAGTTCGGACTCAGAGTTAAGATTAAGATCTAAATATCTGAATAGCAGCTTATACAAAAACTACAAAAGTGAAAAATTTATACCATCGCGGTATTCGAACAGTCATACCTTATGCAAACAGATCAAAATGACATCAAACGAGCAATATTTTTTCACTTTAATTTCAAAAATCGTTATGGGAATAAAATCAACAGACAAGGACAAAATATGAATAGTCAATATTGATTTTAGTTGTTTTTATCATCAGAACGTTACTGGTACTTTACTTCTTTATTTATTGTATATCAGTGCTTTTGAGGTTCGGACAACGCTTGAAACGTGACATTGTACCGTTGTATAGTCTAATGAACCGTTTGTGAATTAACGGAAGGACAGTAGGACTAATATCGAACTGCTTTTGTGTTACGATTGCGCGCTTGATTTCTAACGTGTAACCCTTTAAGTAATCGAAGTTTGAGAGTATGTGACAATGCCTTTATTGTCTTGTCTTTTATTTTTATCCGGATACTTTCAAGGTTTGCCGTGTAAACTGATGGTATCGTTTCAGTCCATTTACGACGAAAGCGCAATGGGCTTTTTTACAGCGCGTGAATGCGGAGGCCAATAGAATCTATATTTTAACTCGCTTGTCATTATTGTGAATGTGACGTATCTAGTGTTTTTTAAGTAACATTTTAATTTTGTTGTTTAATGCGATCGTGAAATACTTTCATGTTATGTTCACTGATGTTGTGGAACTCTTTCCTGTAGCGTCCAAGACAGATAGATAAGAATGCCTTGAGTTGTCATTTCTGCAATGAAGGTGCTGACAATGGAACGCAACCAAATATCTGTTTTAATGATAACAAAAACATAAAAATGCAACACAGTGGTCGGAGTAGATAAGGAAAACCACACGAGGAGGTGCATCTGTCCCCAAATTCAATACATTTCATTATGTACTTGTTTTGATGAGCAGAGAGTGGTTTTCGTAAGGTTTCCTTAACATGCCGTCTATAATATGAACCCATAGCGCGCACAAATGAACTGCTGTCGTATTCTGTTGCATAAATGCATATTACAATGTAATTCACAATCACAAATGACATTTCTGTATAACTATTTATCTGTTTTCATTCTTGAAAATCTACCATGCCATGAATCAAAAGTATCTTTTTTTATCTTACTATGACTTTGGATAAAGAGGTCACCATTTAATGGTCTTGTTGCTTCATAGCTAAATGTATAGGAAAACTTGTCTGTTGTTATGTTCTATAATAAGATATTCGGACTTGAATTAAGAGTGGAGATTCTTTCAGGGACATCATGTCAGACATTGTCACACACATTTGATCTTACAGATTCCTGATAATTCATTATTTACCTTAATCAATATAGTTTGCTGTTATTTTGAGCTACCAAATTGATATATTTACTAATATACTAACGTATCTAAAGTTAAGATTGATATATCTAGTGCTTACTATCAGGTTTGTTTGAAATATGTTCTTGTTCACTAATTAAACAACGTATTGAATACTTACCAGCGGACTTATTGGATATATGTTCTTCATGTGTTACAAAATATTGTATCTAGTGTTACATAATTATGTATCTAGTGTTACACAATTATGTATCTAGTGTTACACAATTATGTATCTAGTGTTACACAATTATGTATCTAGTGTTACACAATTATGTATCTAGTGTTACACAATTATGTACCTAGTGTTACACAATATTGTATCTAGTGTTACACAATTATGTATCTAGTGTTACACAATAATGTATGTAGTGTTACACAATAATGTATCTAGTGTTACACAATTATGTACCTAGTGTTACACAATATTGTATCTAGTGTTACACAATTATGTACCTAATGTTACACAATAATGTGTCTAGTGTTACACAACAATGTATAATGTATTTAGTGTTACAAATAATGTATTTATTGTTACACAATTATGTGTCTTGTGTTACAAAATAATGTGTCTTGTGTTACACAATAGTGTATTTAGTGCTACAAAATAATGTATTTAGTGTTACACAATTATGTGTCTTGTGTTACAAAATAATGTGTCTAGTGTTACACAACAATGTATAATGTATCTAGTGTTACAAATAATGTATCTAGTGTTACAAAATAATGTATCTAGTGTTACAAAATAATGTATCTAGTGTTACAAAATAATGACATCTTCGTTAACTTGGCATTAACACTGCAGATTTAAGAAACGAATTAAAACAGCCATATTATGCATTCTTACATATCATCATTGTACTGCGTTGATGGTACTTTTGTGGACATTTGACGTCACTTCATTGTCTAAACATGACGTCACAATAGTTAATGTTACAAATGTGTAATACACAATTATAATATTGTGTGGGTATACACACATAACAATGAGTTCCTTAGAGTTACCATTAGTTTACATCAGCTGCAATATTCCTATCAGATAGGGGATGGATTATGGTAAAATTACGGTAAAACTGTCAAATAACGGAAAAAAATATAATGACGTGTGGAATTAAGGACAAATTATTCTACAATATCAAATTATATACAAATGATACCACAATGTCTAAATCAGGACACATTGTACCAGATAGTCAAACGTAAGGCAAAAGTTACGACAGCGATAAATTAAGGACAAATTGTACCAGAAAGACAAACGTAAGGCAAAAGTTACGACAGCGATAAATTAAGGACAAATTGCAAATGCTATCGCAAAAGACGTATTGAGCATATCATTCTCATTAGTGTGATGTATAATTCTGTGCTAGCTGTACACAGATGTTCGATAACAACATGATTAATTGATTACTTTCAGCAAAACGGATAACTTTCAAAGGAAAATCAAAATGACATTTCGATTCAAACAGTGATTTCGATCAGCACTTTGTGTAAATAATGAAGTTATCGGAACGTAAAACAGTCTCCTCTAGCATGACGAGATACATTTCAATAATGTTGATTAGAAATAAAACATTTTTTTTTTTTTTTCAAATTGAAATCATCGCCTTGATCTTTTGACAACCCGTAAGAACAAAGGACCTCTAATTCACAAGATATCAACAGCCATATTGCAACATACAAATGCACAGAAAGTCATAGACACACCCAACTTACCCTACGAAAATTGCTTCCATTTCCAGTATCGTTTTTCGCTCCATCACGCCGATAGTGATGGCAGATTTAGTTTAAGAAGGTACAATATCAGATACGCTTCTTTGAGGAGCGTTTTAAGCGTTGTTTATTGGTACGAGTTTGTGACGATGTGAGCTCTACTCCCTAATTCGCTGTTATATGGGTAGTATCGACCGCTGCTCACTGCTGACAAAGCCTCCAAACCGTGGACTCGTAATTGTACAATTAATGTCATACTACTGTCAAATGGCCTTGATTGAGCCCTGATAAAGATATGGAAATACGATGGAGCGAGAGTACCAATAGTTACCAGTATGAAACCAGCATTATCAATACCTTTACCTTTTTTAAGTCGCTCAAAGGTATTTATTCTTTTCCAAAACAACAGGATATTTTGATTCATGGCAAATAGTAACATTGTAACGCTTTAAATGGCAGAAAAACGTTTTAGGGAAGCCATTTTTGATAAAAGGTCGTGCATGATTTTATGCCTTTAATGACTAAAAATATAATTTGCTATCAAAAGGTTTTATGTATACTCAACACATCAGATATGAAAGTGAATACAACGTGCCAATAGCAGTTCAATACCCAATACAGTAAAATGGCAAACGACGTAAAAAAATTGTCATACAGAAAAAAAAAATTCCTTTTTCTTTCCGCTAGCAACAAACCGTTCATATTGTATTTGAGCATTTGTTTTAGTCTGTATTATTTGACAGGTATTAATTGTCTTAAGACAATGATTTGTGGTATAACCTTTCAGTATTAAATGTCCGCTCTGGGAATTTGTATTTCTGTGTCCACTGTTCACGTTATGATATATTTTTCTCCTTACTTTACGTTACATTTTAAGTCTTATAAGCGTGTTAGTAAAGGGCTTCCGTATAACAAACAACCTGTTTTATCTACCTCCTTCGTAACCAGCTTCGACACACTTGTTTTTCAATAATGGAATTGGGTTTATTCCACTTAATTACTTAGGCTGAGTGATGGTGTTATCATTTATTAGAGAGTTGTCGGCATGCGATGGAGTGGCTATCAAACTCTGTCAATATCACAGAAGTGTACACTCTACATGACTCCTATTGTGATATAAACCGTCCACTTACAGCAGATTTTTTTTTCCACATGGAAGTACCATAAACACCTCAACACGGTCATTTAAGAATACGTTACTATACCATACTATAAAAGCATTTTAAATGGATTTTATTTATTATTATTTTCGAGGATGGAACACGATTTCGACAACGAAGAAAAACCGTGAAAAAATATTAACAATTTAAAATACAATGATTTGTTTGATGTTCCATTGAAATCTAACTTCCAAACACCGTGCAGAGATTTGATAAAACTGTGCAAATTTCCATTAACCGTTCAAGAAGACAATATCAGTAATTATATACCAGGGATCAAGATATAACACTTAATGGAGTTTAACCTTATGAAAATAAAAAAACGAGTCCTTTATTATCTTCTTATTAACCAAATAAATTCATTTGCCATATTCCAACATATTATAATACATTTCAGTGTAAAGATTCTATACATTATATTGTGGTGATTCTATACATTCTATTGTGGTGATTCTATACATTATATTGTGGTGATTCTATACATTATATTGTGGTGATTCTATACATTATATTGTGGTGATTCTATACATTATATTGTGGTGATTCTATACATTATATTGTGGTGATTCTATACATTATATTGTGGTGATTCTATACATTATTTGTGGTGATTCTATACATTATATTGTGGTGATTCTATACATTATATTGTGATTCTATACATTATATTGTGGTGATTCTATACATTATATTGTGGTGATTCTATACATTATATTGTGGAGATTCTATACATTATATTGTGGTGATTCTATACATTATATTGTGATTCTATACATTATATTGTGGTGATTCTATACATTATTTGTGGTGTTTCTATACATTATATTGTGGTGATTCTATACATTATATTGTGATTCTATACATTATATTGTGGTGATTCTATACATTATATTGTGATTATATACATTATATTGTGATTCTATACATTATATTGTGGTGATTCTATACATTATATTGTGATTCTATACATTATATTGTGGTGATTCTATACATTATATTGTGATTCTATACATTATATTGTGGTGATTCTATACATTATATTGTGGTGATTCTATACATTATATTGTGGTGATTCTATACATTATATTGTGATTCTATACATTATATTGTGGTGATTCTATACATTATATTGTGGTGATTCTATACATTATATTGTGGTGATTCTATACATTATATTGTGGTGATTCTATACATTATATTGTGGTGATTCTATACATTATATTTTGATTCTATACATTATATTGTGGTGATTCTATACATTATATTGTGGTGATTCTATACATTATATTGTGGTGATTCTATACATTATATTGTGGTGATTCTATACATTATATTGTGGTGATTCTATACATTATATTGTGATTCTATACATTATATTGTGGTGATTCTATACATTATATTGTGATTCTATACATTATATTGTGATTTTATACATTATATTGTGGTGATTCTATACATTATATTGTGATTCTATACATTATATTGTGATTCTATACATTATATTGTGGTGATTCTATACATTATATTGTGGTGATTCTATACATTATATTGTGATTATATACATTATATTGTGATTCTATACATTATATTGTGGTGATTCTATACATTATATTGTGGTGATTCTATACATTATATTGTGGTGATTCTATACATTATATTGTGGTGATTCTATACAGTATATTGTGGTGATTCTATACATTATATTGTGGTGATTCTATACATTATATTGTGATTATATACATTATATTGTGGTGATTCTATACATTATATTGTGGTGATTCTATACATTATATTGTGGTGATTCTATACATTATATTGTGGTGATTCTATACATTATATTGTGGTGATTCTATACATTATATTGTGATTATATACATTATATTGTGATTCTATACATTATATTGTGGTGATTCTATACATTATATTGTGGTGATTCTATACATTATATTGTGGTGATTCTATACATTATATTGTGGTGATTCTATACATTATATTGTGGTGATTCTATACATTATATTGTGATTATATACATTATATTGTGGTGATTCTATACATTATATTGTGGTGATTCTATACATTATATTGTGGTGATTCTATACATTATATTGTGGTGATTCTATACATTATATTGTGGTGATTCTATACATTATATTGTGGTGATTCTATACATTATATTGTGGTGTGATTCTATACATTATATTGTGGTGATTCTATACATTATATTGTGGTGATTCTATACATTATATTGTGGTGATTCTATACATTATATTGTGGTGATTCTATACATTATTTTGTGATTATATACATTATATTGTGGTGATTCTATACATTATATTGTGGTGATTCTATACATTATATTGTGATTATATACATTATATTGTGATTCTATACATTATATTGTGGTGATTCTATACATTATATTGTGGTGATTCTATACATTATATTGTGGTGATTCTATACATTATATTGATTCTATGTATATTGTGGTGATTCTATACATTATATTGTGGTGATTCTATACATTATATTGTGATTATATACATTATATTGTGATTCTATACATTATATTGTGGTGATTCTATACATTATATTGTGGTGATTCTATACATTATATTGTGGTGATTCTATACATTATATTGTGGTGATTCTATACATTATATTGTGGTGATTCTATACATTATATTGTGGTGATTCTATACATTATATTGTGGTGATTCTATACATTATATTGTGATTATATACATTATATTGGTGATTCTATACATTATATTGTGGTGATTCTATACATTATATTGTGATTCTATACATTATATTGTGGTGATTCTATACATTATATTTGTGATTCTATACATTATATTGTGGTGATTCTATACATTATATTGTGGTGATTACTATACATTATATTGTGGTGATTCTATACATTATATTGTGATTCTATACATTCTATTGTGGTGATTCTATACATTATATTGGTGATTCTATACATTATATTGTGGTGATTCTATACATTATATTGTGGTGATTCTATACATTATATTGTGGTGATTCTATACATTATATTGTGGTGATTCTATACATTATATTGTGATTCTATACATTATATTGTGGTGATTCTATACATTATATTGTGATTCTATACATTATATTGTGGTGATTCTATACATTATATTGTGATTCTATACATTATATTGTGGTGATTCTATACATTATATTCTGATTCTATACATTATATTGTGATTCTATACATTATATTGTGGTGATTCTATACATGATATTGTGGTGATTCTATACATTATATTGTGATTCTATACATTATATTGTGACTCTATACATTATATTGTGGTGATCCTATACATTATATTGTGATGATCCTATACATTGTATTTTAATGAATATAAACACAAATGTTATAAGCTGACTACAACCATGGAGAATGTCACGCTCAGGAGTCATTACAGGTTTAAGATGAGAAACAAGTCATCGTATATCTGATATAGACAGTCTGGTCTTACTGAACTATCAGAAAGATGATATTGATACCAAAATTTTTCATAATAATTGTCCTCCTCGTGACTTCTGAACAATTCATTCATACATAAATATTTTCGATGATAAGAATCAGATCGTAAAATAGACTGCGTGATGTTCCATTATCTTGAACCAACTTATATGATACTAGCTTCTTTCCAAAACTTATGTCTAACTGGAATAATCCCTCTGGACTGTTTCCCAAAATGGCATTTATTCGATCTCTGAAATAGGTTTTTTTTTTTTTTTTTTCTAATGAACTTGTCGCAAGAGTCCATCTCAGGCGTATCATACATATGTATCATCGTTATTGTTAAGATCCTACTAGCAGTGCTAAGCGAACCTTTCTCGGGTTTATG